GGTGCTGACATGTAATGTGCAGGGTCAAGTTTGTAATTTTCCAGACATGTTCTCCTGAAGTTTTCAAATACATCGGCTAACAAAAGAACGTCAGTCTCTAGGTAGAGGTCGTGGTAGTCTCTCATGGTTTTCATCCCAAAGTGATCCCATACTTTTCTAGCTCTTTGGTAATCTTCTTCCTTCACCTCTGACTCATACAGTGATGAGTAAAACTTATCTCTACTTGGAAGACCCTCTGTATTGAGTTTACTAATGTCATCCAGAAATTCATATGGAAAGACTCCTTTTTGTGTTACTAAATCGAAGTCCTCACCCTTCCACCTCTTACCTACTATTTTAAAGTCCTCAGGTGAAAGGTTACTCACCAGTGCTTCTAGTGAAGAAGCCATAAACTGTATAGAGTCTATGAAGACAAGATTCTTACCCAGTGAGAATGAAATATATTTTTCCATATTATTTGGGATCACGTTAATGTTCATCTTGAACTTACCAATTTCCTGCATAATTAGATGACTATCATAACCTCTAAGATTGTGGAAGACCACAGGCACTTTCCATGTAATTCTGTACTTTAGGTTGCACATATTATGAGCAGCTCCACGGTACAGTCCTGTTACGTGATCATGGTCTCTTACTCTGTCCTCACCAAGGTCGTTACCACATATTGAACAGTTTCTTGCCTTCCAGAACTCAGATTCTTCTTCAGGTGTAATTACCATCTTTTTCTTGAATATACTGTTCACCATTTCTCTACATCTTAAGGACTCTATTAATACAGTCTTTAGGAATACCATCGCAGCATCCTCTCCAACGTAACTCTTATACTCACCAGAGTACTTATCATCATAATGGCAGACGGTCTTTAGACCAAAACTACAAGCCTTGTGTGTCTGGTAAAGATTTGTACTGCTTTTGTCCTCAGGGTTTTCTGACTCCACTTTTCTCTCCTCTGGTACCAGTATTGACTCAAAATCAGCGTATATCACAAACGGTGCAGGCATCGAGTTCCTGTGATTTTTGAACTTTATTTTAGTTTCTTCCTTGGGAAGCTTTACAGCCTGAGTTCCGTTTACCTCGATACATGTCTCCTTATGCTTTTCCAGTACCTCTTTACTCACACAACTATGAAGACAGTGTAAACAAAAGTGCTTCTTATGTGTGTATCCACTTACGCTGAAAAGCATTCTGTTTACGTCCTTTATGAGCACATAGTGGTTGTTACCATTACCGTCACCTAGAAGTAGAAGCTCCATATGCTCATCATATTTAGTCCTAGAGTTTCTTATAGGATAGAACTGCTTTTTGCCCTTGTAACCGAACACTGATATGTTTATACTGTTTTTCCTCTCAATTTTATCAATATCACTTATCTTCACAGGGAATTCTATACCGCTGTAGTCCAGGTTGTCTACAAACTCCCTATCTTTCCGTGTAATAGTAGTTGCTCTTCTAGCCTTAGGATTTAAATGTCTCACATGACTCCACAGAAAACACATATTATCATTGTTCCTCATATTGATGAGCCCACACTTTGGATTACTAATGTCCTCAGGTAGTTTCATATACGAACTACCCTTCAGAGGTTTGTACATTGCAATGTTCACGTAATGGCTCTCAATATTAAGTATAATCCAATTTGAACCTAAGTTTTGAAAGGTTTCAATTCTAGACAAGATTGTTAGTTGGTTTTGAGCAGCTGTACTTTCAATATCCTCGAAGTTAGTTGCAGTGCCAGTTTTAAACTTGAAGTAGATTGAGTCCTTCTTTGTTTTACCGTTACCTATCTCCTTCGACATTCTCACCTTTATTGTCTCCGTGTACTTCAACCCTCCCATTCTTTTCAACTCGTTCACAAGTATTCCTCTCACTACCTGTCTACTTGCAGTTAACTGATTCAGGGGGTCCATATATTGAGGAGTTATTGAGTAAGTTACAGCAGCTCCATTTGCGGCTGTTTCAATTTTCCTGTGGAATGGCTTTTCAAGGTATGTTCCAAATGGATCAATTTCTTGTTCCTCTGGTGTAACCACTACAGGCTGCTCCTTGACTTCCCTCGATACTTTTGCAGGCTTACGGACCTTAGGAGGAGGAAACACTGGCTTTCTAGTTCTAGGTTTCGGTACAGGTCTTTCCCTAGGAAGCACCGTTCTTTGTTTAGGTACAGGAGGAAGTCTAGTTCTAGGTTTAGGTGTCGGTTTCCATGGAGCTACACCCTTAGGCACTTCAGGAGCTTTCCTTGTGGGTTTCTTATTAAGATCCACACTAATCGTAAACTTACCTGGACCTGTTGGAGTTATAATACTGTTTGCAGGCACTGAGAGTTTTATCCTATTTTGACTCAGGAATCTTTCCGCGACAGTTTCCCTCCTAACCTTAGGCTTTTGTTGTATAACATCAACCTTAGGCTTTGGTGGTCTACCTCTCTTTTTAGGAACCTTAACTTCACCATCAACCTTAGGCTTTGGTGGTCTACCTCTCCTTTTAGGAACCTTAACTTCACCATCAACCTTAGGCTTTGGTGGTCTACCTCTGGGACGCTTAGGATTCCTCTCGTTTTCAATCCTCCTAATTTCCGCATTCACCTGAGGATCATCCGTGCGCCATCTACCTCCCATTGTTGGTGGTAACCCCTCGACCCCCCTTGCTAGTAGACTTTGGTATGCCTCCTCTACAAGTAGGGCCTTAGCCTTCTGTCTTTCAGAGTACTTCCATGTTGGCATAATTCCTCTTCTACCCTTATAGTTCAAAGGAAGACGTCTCGGTTTCTTTACCTCCATATCACGGTCAACTTCATCTACGAATTGTCTTTCTCCTTCAAAGAGATCTTTACCCTTATCACTAGGTGCAATCCTGTAGGTTTTGTCCTCCATGATGTTCTCTACTCTTTCATCAATCTCGTTATCACTGTCTATGATACTGTTGAGAGCCATAAGCTGTTCTACGCTGAATTCATTCATGTCAGAATAACTCGCCATTTTTTAACTGTTACTCTATATAATATATGTAAAAATAAATCGGGCTATTTAATTGTTAATTTATTTTGTTATTTTAATTTAGTAATTTGTTTTATTATTTTATTTTATTATTTTAATTTAATAGTTTAATTTATTATTTTAATTTAACAATTTATTTTATTATTCTAATTTAACAATTTATTTTATTATTTTATTTTAATAGTTTATTTTATTATTTTAGTTTAATAGTTTATTTTATTAGTTTAATTTAGCAATTTATTTTATTATTTTAATTTAATAGTTTATTTTTAACTTTCCAGTTATCATAATATTTACATTTCTCAGGTTTCCATCCAAGCTCAACAAAAACTTTTCCATACAACCTATCCTCAAGTATGTTCACAATTCTTTTAGTCTTAATGTCCTCAGGAGGGTTTCTCAAGGTGATACCATTCATGCTGGCTATCCTCAGTAGGTAAAACTTGTATCTAACAATATTGCGCCCCCTTTGCAGTCTAAGTCTTTGTATACATCTTACGATGCTTCTAAACTGCTCCCTTATGGTGTCCCTATCCCTAGAAGCAACATGTTCGAATAAGTGTCTCTCGAACCAACGGACTCTATTATGGCAAGACTTCTTTTTCAGGTAGTCGTCCTTGTTGTAGTTGTAACTAACGTAGTATGAGAAGTTATTCATATCACTAGTTCCACACTGTGTGCATGTATCTGCTCCATCTATCATTACAATAGACTTACTTCCACATTCACTACATACTGGATCGTATGTATGTTTTATCTTTATTCTTCTCTCTGCGTACTTCCTTACAGCAGCCTCTAACTCTTCCAGTGTATTTACCCTTTTACCTACACGTGCTATCTCCTCAGGTGTTGCCATCTGTAACCATTCCATTTCCCTATACTATATATGTGAAAATTTTTGCGGCATTTTTTATAGCATTAAATAAGCTGCCCCTCCAACCACCCCACCTGTGATTAAACCAAAGATTGCCATATATTCTTCCATTTCAGAGCTAAGTTTGTAGTGATTACTTAATTGCGGCATACTTTGCATGGGCTTATGTGTTAACTCATTGATTCTTCTAACGAGTTCCAGTGATTTGTTTGTTGAATTAATATCCTTATTTGCCTCAGCTAGTTCTAACTTCAGTTGGGCAATTCTGTTTCTTCTATCAGTGACTTCCTCAAGGTACTTCTCTCTTTCAGCTGTTAGGTTCTCCATTGCAAGGTTATGTCTATGAGCTTCCTTAGCATATCCATTCTTGTCAAACATTTTAAATAGGTATCCTGCTCCAGCAAATGCAAATGCATTAAAAAGTCCTCCTGCTACTGCTCCTGCCATTGTATAGTCTTACCTAGGTTTTGAACGGATCATCTGGTAGGTACTTCTTTTTTTTCAAGTAAGAGACTAGTAGAGATGAAAGGCTAACTGAGACAGCTAACTTCGCCATTCCTTTTACATTTTTTGGGGTGCCCAACGGCTCTCTCAGTAGTTTTTTTGATGCCATTGATATACCAACTGCTCCTGCTGTAAATAACACTGCATTGTACACTTCCATCATCATCTTTGATTCTTTACTCATCTTGTTATAATATATAGTATGTTTAATGTATCATTCAAGTGAATCTAACCTGGACTCATCAGCTTTCCTAGTTACATCTACAGTTTTAGGGATGTACTTGGGTTCCGGTTCCTTTGTTTCTCTCTGATGCGACTTATATGCTAGCACAAGAGATATCAATGCAATGGCCACTCCTATGTAGGTAATCATACTGTTATTACTAGGTGACTCCCTAGGTTCAGCTAGTTTCTTTTTTCTCTCCTTTGCTATTTTACTGATTGCAGCTAATCGTTTTCCTGCAGCTACTCTTCTTGGGTCCTTCTTCTTTTCGCTTGTTACTGGTACTTGAATTTGCTCAGGTTTATCTTCCATTCTACTTGTAAGATACCTTAGGTTTAACTGGTTTTTGTCTTACAAGATAAATTGAATCTACTGGTGAGATGTCTCAAATTTACTTGCCACTAAACTAGTAATTGTGTGATTTGAACTTCGGTTTGTACAGCTTTACATTGCTAACTACATTTTTTACTTCTGCTGTTTTAACTTTTTTCTTGAGTGAGAAGTACTCGTTAATTCTAATACAAGTTTTCACTAGGTCGTTGGATATCATTGTTGCGTATCCTATTCCCCTCAGTTTTTCAAGCCATACTTCTTGCTTCTCACTTGTAATCCCAGTGCCCTTAGGAGACTTAAATTCAATAGCTAATCCCTTATACTTTCCCATAAGATTCTCAATAATAAGATCAGGCTGGCCACCTTTATATCCCTTCTTCCAGGCATCACATCTCTTTTGCACAGTGTCCTGGTACTCACCTAGGCCAGGTACTATTACAGCTGTGGGGTGGTTATTCCTAATGTAACTCACAACTGTATGATGAAGGTCCGTTTCATTTATGAGAATCATCTGGTTATACCTAAGTGACCTTCTATCTGGTAATTCGTATGAGCCTGTTTTACGGATAGATGGAAGGACCTCGCTAAACACCCAATCTTGAAAGTCCTCTGCTATTGGGAGTCTTGAGTTGAATATTAGTTGATACAAACCAGGTTCTCTTAGAAAAACAGAATTCGGTTGGCCATTCAAGGTGGGACCCAAATTGGGTCCCACCCTAAGTTCTCCGAGTGTTGTCTTGTTTAACTTCCATACGTGGGTTTGAATAGCTTTTTTCGTATTTGAGTACCCTAGAGATTCCGCCACATCTTTCGCGTAAAACAGTACGTCCTCACCTTTCTTAATGATTCTCACGCTAACATTCAACTCCCGGTTCCTAAAAAATTTCTCCATCTTTTCTATACTATATATGTAAAAATTTTTTAGGCTATTTTATTTTGATTTATGAAGCAGTATTCCCTCGTCCCACCCAACTGCTTACCACTTTTGTGTACCTCCTATTGCAAATAAAATATTACATTTCATGTAGCCTCTTGTATACTTTTACGACTGTTTTGGTTGTGTCAGCCTTAAACGTTTCAAAGTCGTGTTGTAGTGGACCTATGACCTTATCCTTGAGCGCGTATAGATCTCTCTCTAGTGAATCAAGGGTTGCCTGGATCTTATCTAGCTTTTCCTTGTTCCTGTTAGTTTTCTCAATCAATTCGTTAATTATGTCTTCGAACTCTGTTCCTTCCCAAGCGTTTCCCCACTCATGCGGTTCTCCGTAGTGTGACATTCTGTATGTAATAAGATATGTTTAGCTTCCTCAGATATTTCCTCAGACTCATCCTTCTTATTCCACTTATGGGCAACTACATGCTTAGCTGTTGTGCAACCACCTGATATTAGACCTATAAATGGGATGTTGGGGGATATCGTTCTGGTTAGATATGCTACGTCGTCCTTTAAAAGTTTGTCACTAAGTAGTTCCTCTGACAACTTCTCTAAAGATTCCACTGCACCAAAACTCCCCAGTATAGAAGCAAACTTTGAAATTATAAGTGTTGATAAGAAGTCACTTGCGAATGACATCCTTTGACTTTCATACTCTTGGTATAGTCTATCTACAACATCCTTGTTAGACTTTCTTATAAAACTTGCGGACTTCTCTATTATGCCATCCCTCGACAGCTCTATAAGTTTGTCTCTTTTGCTTTCAGTTTGCGACTTATCTGCAGTGGGCTTAGTTTTTCTTGCTTTCTTTTTCGGCACCTTTGCGGCCTCCTCTACTTCTCTTACAGCCTCAAATATTTCTTCGTCAGATTCAGTTCCCATCTTCTATATTCTACGCGGTGTTTGGTTTAACAGTGTATGTGTAAGGGTGATAAGAAGTATGTCCAGTGCGGTGAACTTCTCATCTTTTAATATTTTTGTAATCTCTGTAATTGTCTCCTGAGGAACACCGCTTAGGTAATCATCTGTTATGACCTTCATATCTCTGCGACTAGGGTTGTAAAATGTAACTAACCTAGAAATGTTCTCCCTGAATGGCTTTGCTACTGATGACAATTGTTGGGTAATTACAATAACAGATAGGTTGTAATGTCTTGCAGAGAAAGCTAGGCGCACCAGTTCTGAGATTCTTTTCTTTACATCTTGACTTGCCGCACAATCGTCCACTATAATGAGAGTCTGAGTGCCGCGGAATATGGTGGACACTGCCTTGAGAACTATATTGAGCATTTCTTGTGAGCATGGAATTTGTATAACTCCGTGGTCGCTAATATGAGCCCAATTAATGTAAGTCATATTCCACTCTATTGTTGGACATATAATGACAATGTAATCAAAAACTTTATTGTACTCTGCTTCTAGCATATTAAGTAGGAACTGAGTTTTGCCACTTTCTGTCATTCCTACTATGAGCATGTTGAATGGGGGCTTAAGTTGTTCCATCTCTATGCTTTACCATTAGTATTGAATACTTGATAGATCTCTATTGGTAAAGTTAAGGAGAGCATCTGATACAACAAAAATGTTGCACTGAACGTCAGCTGTTGTGGCTCTCTTCTTGATTTCCAGAAGTACTCCAGACTGTGTGTTAACAATCTTCTTACCTCCACCAGTGGCATCATCTTGTGTTGACCTAAGATCGATTACTAGAGCGAAACCATTGGTGAAGAACTTACTGATGGACATAAATTCGTCTGCCATTGATTTCTCACACATAGGACAGAAAAATCTTTTTGCCTCTTCGAAGAACCTATTTTTATGAAGTCCCTGGGAAAAAACTGCATTAGGCACACCCTCAATGGTTAGGTTCACTTTATCAATGTTTGGGTAAATATACTCTTCAGAATCAGTTCTCACTCTACTTGTAAATAGAAGGACAATTGCTGACATGCTCTTTCTGGGGATATTAATGTTTTCATTGACAATAGTAAGATCCTTGCCCCAATTACTTGTACGCATAAGTGTGACATGTTTGTAGGACAGTGAGCGGCCCGTTGAATACATCCTTGATACTTCACTCGCAAGGGTGTCATTCTCAATGGTCTCATATTCTAACTCAAGATTATCAAGTTTATAATTACCCTTAGCTTCACCTCCTTGAGCAGTCATAATCTCATCTGATTGCGAAAATGTGAGGATGTACATAGGATTGTTATTCATGGAGAACGGTACGTAGAGTCCATGGTCTGCAATTATTTTATCAATTGGTTTTCTCAGCTTAGAACCGTACACACTGTGGAGAAGTCCATCTGCTAATTTACCTGCGTCACCAACCTTTACACCTGAGTCGTCGCCTGATATCAGCTTCCTAAGATTCTCACTTGCGAGACCTTGTTCTGTCATCTTATTCCTGTCGCCAACAGTTAGCCATAGATCTTTGTATATTTCATACAAACTCTCTCCCGAACAATCATAAGCTGTTTCACCGGCTACTTTAATCTGAAGACGTTTAGCTATCAACTTAGACAGGCTGTTGTTAAAGTGGCTTTTTGTATTGGAATTTTTGAAGTCAAATAATAGTGCAAGTGATCCGGGGACTAAACAAGAGTCAGGCTTTAGTTTAGGGATGTTAATGTACAGCTCTTCACCTGGGCTAATGGTTGTTGGATTAAAAGTTACAACACTTCTAGTTCTGGGACCTTTTACGGATGTCATACGGCTCCTCCTGAAGCCAGGCTGGAGTTCTCTTTCTGTGGTATTCATACTTTATACAATATGTAATGTTTAGTTGTATTTGTATAATAAAACTACTGCTGCACATACAATGATTATCCATATATTATCCGCTGCTAACTCTACTCCATCGGCTATCTTCTGAAATACAGGTGGTAGTTCTATTTGGTTGTTTACCAACTCACTGATCCGCTTATCGAGCTTTTCTGTTGTGTCACCTACTTTCCATAATATATTTCTAGTTGATGCTACCAGTCCTATGATTACAGCTGATGAGGAAATTAGAACAGCTGATAAGATGCCTGCATTCTCCCTTGCCCACAACTTGAGCCTCTGTAGTCTCCTACGATCATCCCGTTTAATAAGATCCCTCTTTTTCACCTTATCTCTTAAGTTGAGAAGTTTATTTAAGTTTGACTCTCTTTGGTAATCATTTGATAGCATTCTGACGTATCTCAGTTCTTCCGACTTTTCTTTGAAACTGTCTTCGTCCAAATTGGATAGTATTATTTCATTTAACAGTCTGTCTCCCCTATCCATTAGATCATCGTATGGCAGATTAGATAGGTCAGGGAATTTCTCAGCTAATTGCTCTCTCGTAAGATCTTCACTTAATATTTTTCTCCTCCTCAGTTCCCATACGTAATTAATTTCCTCGTTAATATCCTGGGTCTCCTCACTAGTTTCACCTTCCTTAAGATCCTTGTCAAGGTACGGTAATTCGCTATCTAAAGTTTCTATATCCATTTCTTCATAGTTTGGATACTTTTCCTTCAACTCCTCCATTTTCTGGTCATCGTATTCCTCTTAATTAAGGCTGCAGCTATAGCTAGTACCCATAAGTGTGACGCTAACCAGGTAATTCCTTTGGCTCCCCATGATAGCGCTGTTGCAATTGCATTCAGGATTGGAACCAGAATTGGTCCTGCTTTCTTTGCTAAATTTGCTAGTGCTTTTGCTACTTTACCAGTGACCTTTGCCGTCTTTACAATGGCTCCCCTAGCATGTACAAGAAGAGTTGTTATTAGACCTGCTGTTGATATTGCTTTTCCTCCCCTAACCATTTCACAAACTTGCGTAATCTGGAAATGTCTTCCAACTGTGCCTCTCTTGCTTCCTCTACTGTTCTCTGCTCTAGTGTCCTATCTCTAGCTTCCTTTAGACTATCAATTCTTTCTAGGAGGGAATTGTACTCAGTTGTACCTTTCACTGAGGTGGCGCGTTCCACGGTTTCACCAATAGCTTCATTAAAGTAGTCCGCTTGAATTTGTAACGCTCCATTGGGACCTGTTCTGCCTTCTATACTTGATCCACCAGGTGGGTTAAGAACACCTCTCAGTTCATTGTTTTCTTGCATTGTTAACCCTTGAAGGTCTCCTAATTTTGCACTTATGTCTATTAACTCAATGTTCTCACGGTCAGCGTATTCCTCATCACTGTCATCAAATTGCGGCTCTTCTCTAGTGTCCTCATAGATTGATTCTTCACTTGTAATTCTAGCGTCAGGATCCATAGGTGTCTGCTTGATTTTCTTTAGAAGGTCCTTATATTCTCTCAGAGCGGGTGAGCCCTTTGAGTACACAGGAATCTTGGTCTTACCACGTTTCATTATTTGTATCCCACTTTTGTCAATACCTTGTTCACTTCTAAATACCAACACCTCCATGCCATCCTTAAGTGTTCTTACAGATGATCGTTTTATGAGTTCTCTGACGTATCTATTCTTTGGGTCTAGTATTAGTCCCTCCTTACTCTTGATAACTCTCA